GTGGTTCACAGCCTTCCTAATGCTGTGATCCTTTAGCACAGTTCCTTATGTAGTGACCCCAACCATAAAGTTGGTTTTATTGCTACTTCTTAACTGTAATTTTCTTCCGTTATGAATCATGATGTAAATATCTGTGTTTTCTGATGGTCTTAGGTAACCCCCATGAAAGGGTCATTTCAGCCCCCCCCAGGGGGATCATGACTCAGTAGTTGAGAACCATATTCTAAGAGATCATTTCCATTTTAGTTACCGGTACTAAACTCTTGCCACACCAAGAATCTGAAACAAAGACTGTTTCAGCACAAAGGTTAATATCCAATATATTTCAAATTATTCTTACTCAGATATTCTTCTAAAATCAAGAGGTTAAAATAAAGATGCATGTATAAAGACATTCTTTACAAGTTTATCTATAATATCAAAAGTTGACAATCAATTCAAATATCTAAATTTAGTAGAAGAAACTATATTAATATAATACCATATTGCTATTTCAATTGTCGTTTTATAATAAAAAGATTTATTTATTTTTATCATATATATATGTGAATATTTTGATTGCATGTATCTCTATGAACCATGTGTGAGCATTGTCCAATGTCCTGGGACTATAGTTGCCAACAGTATTAGCCACCAGCTGGGTGTTGGGTATTGAACCTGGGTCCACAGGAGAAACCGCTGGAGCTCTTAAGTGCTGACCCATCTCTCCAGTTCCCATTCCAATTATCTTTCTGAAAATACCTATTTTTAAATCCAAATACATGTAAAAGTTTTCTAAATTAGTTATAAAATGATAATAAATTTAATATTGTCATACTTCATAGCAAAAAGACAGGAAAGAAATATACCACATACCAAAAATAGGTCATTACTGGATTAGACTGAGTGATGCCCTCATTTGTTTTGTGTTATTATACAGTTATAATTTATGATTGTAAACATGATTGAGAAAAACATTGTCTTAATTTATTTTATGCAACCATGACAAATTAAAACAAACGGGTAATTCATTAAGAAGTAAAGATTGATTTTGAATAGTTTCAGTGGTTGGAAAGCTCAAAGTGAAGAAGCCTGAATGTCGCAAGGCCCTTCTTGCATCACCATAGTGACAGAGATCACGTTCAGAAGAGGACGGTGAGTTCATCTTCTTGTTCAGAGCACAACCTGTTCACAGGGCAGACTCTCTCATTAACTGATCGTCTCTTAGAGGTCTCACCTTCCGACACTGCAAACACAGCAACCATAGCCCAATTAGTGCTCCATAGACTTGGAGGAACATCTAGCAAGTTTGCAAGCTAGATTCTGAATTAGATCTGATTGTGGTTTGAAAACTCTGGTTAGACGAAACAAAATAAAACACCAAATGAAATTCTAAAAGATCTTAATGCTTATGACACGAGTACTTGAAGATGCTCTTTCTGGGAGTCAGTTTGTCTATCTTTTGTCTAGTGACTCTGTTTGACATGCAGGCAGAGGAGGAGGTCCCACATCAGGAAGATGCCAAGGCACCATCGGCCCCACAGCCAGCATTATGCCAACCTGTGAGTAAGGATTGATCTTTACACTGGATCTTCATTCTTTTATCTTGCAAATGACCAACAGAGGAATTGCATGGAAATCACTTTAGAACCACTGTGAAAACCTGTACATACGTATTTCCACAGGTTTCCGTGTCCAAAGTTCTGCTACCAGAATCTTGGAGTAGAAGGTTGAAAGTATCTCTATAGTGGGTTCTGCTTCCAGTTGCTCTCACAACTACCACAGTGGGAAGAGACTAAGACTCTTCTTAAAATCCACTGTCCCTGAAAGGTAAAGGTTTGAAGCTGTTACCACTTATAATCGTGTTAGTGAAACCGAGTTTGTCAGATCTTTTGCTGGAGACAGATGCTAATGAAGATAAAGGGCAGAAGCCTGATGATCTGGGTGTATGAAGAATAACGCGAACCAGGTTTAAAAATGACAACAGCAACAGCAAGCAGCCACACAACTGAATATCCAAGAGAATAATTGCCAACGGTGACATTTTGGATCGTCACCAACAAGGTTAGTTTTGGGAACTCTGAAACAGAATTAGGTGATATCAGTGAATATCGTTTAAGGTTAAGTTGGTCATGTTCTAATAGTGGCCGGACTGTTGGTGCTGGGCAAGCAGCCGTTTCATTAGCACTTCTTACAAGACCAGGAGCTGACTCTTTGTCAAGGATGCAGCCAGCCCTTCTGCACATCTGCTTAGACTCTTACAATCACGACATCGCTGTTCGTGCTTCTTCATTTTCTCCTGGAATTGAATGGCAGGTCTTCGGATCTGTGCCTGTAATGTTTCCTCTTCCCAACACGGCAGGTCAGTTCAAATGGGAGCAAAGTGATTTCTGCCATGTAAATATATATATATATATATATATATATATATATATATATATATATTAGTGGAATGTATTTTAACTTCTTACCTGCTAAGTTTCAAAGCTGGCTCATTCTTTTGAAGAAGAGGTGAGGAAATAGGTAAGTTTTCTAATGCCAAGGCAGAGGTCATAGGAGCCTTTCATCAGAGAATAATGGTTGCCTCAGAACTGGCCTGATATTCCCTTGAATACCCGGAGCTGTGGAAGCTCTGTCTGCTGGAACTGGTGCGTTTGGAAACTTCATCTATTCTTTTTTTCTTCTTCCATTTACTAAAGACTGAGGGGGAGCGTTTTTCTTAAGGAGGATATATAAAACAAAGTCACTTTGATATAAAAAGGCAGAGGAGATGGCTAATTGTTCCGGGGAGCGCGTTCACTCTTAAAAGGAATTGTAATAATGAGACGAGAGAAAGGTCAGCTGGAAAGATAGCACGCGATTAAGCAAAGAATTAATCAGTGCTAGCCAAACTCTCCCCTTCCACCTTCTTGGTGTAGGCAGCGAAGTGACTTGTGTTAATGAAGCTAGTTAACAAAGGCAAGATCATTTGGGAAAGTCAGAGACTCATTAAGCGGGGTTATGTCTGAGGTATTTGAAGAGCCAGCCCTCACCTGAATGCATTCTGGAAATGTATATATGTACTTGATCCTGCTGCCTTGGGCTTCTGGAGCTTGCCACCCTCAGCTGCTCGCGCTGGCTGCAGCCTTTTCCTGGTCTATAGTGCAGAACACCTGGAGTCTTGCCGCCGCAGTGCTTCTCCCGAGGGCTCTCGTTTTGAATGAATCTGTGGATAGACCACAAACACCGCGAACCTTCGGTGTAGTCTCCAGCTAAGTGCACGGTGAACGGAAGAGCAAGTCCATTGAACCTCCCTGAACAACTTCTTCCACGAGAGCCTCGTACACATAAAACACTCAGGAAGGCTGAACACTTAGAGATGACCTGGCAGAGTGCCACAGAAAGTGAGCGCCGCTGGAAAGGAACGTGCGGGCTGCCGCCTTCGCAGATGAGAAATTGTAGTCCTGAGACATTAATACAATGTTGCGGGTACCTGGCTTGCAGCCTGAAAGAGGACGCACACTTTTCTAGATAGTTGTCTGTGTTACCCTTTGCTCACAGAAACTTCCTGAACTGGGTAAATTGATTGTGGCCGTCATTACCACTAATAAATTGGAACTCAGAGAGATTAAGCAACTTTAAAACATGCTTCATTAACATGTATTAATCACACATAATAATGGCTTTCATTAGGACGTTTCCATACACGCACCTAGATATATTTCAATCCCACTCCCTCCGTCACCCTTTGTTCCCCTTCCACTGCTGTTAGTGATAATCTCCTGAATCTCTCTCCCCCCAAAACAATTAACTACATATAAATCCTCCAGAAGAGTAACCCCCATGCGCCATTCTGTCTCCTATGACAGGGTGTGGATGGACCCACTCGTGGTCAGAGCTTGTACAGGTGCCAGCATTCAGCATAGCCCCTCTTCCCTCCTCCACCTCACATAACTCTTACATTTTTTACATCACTTCTTTCTTCTTTTGCTACATTCTTTATGCACTGGAGGGGTCACATCAGGTCCCAGTCGTGCCCTGACATCTGACAGTCATTGATCCTCCATACTTTGAAGAGTTATGTGTCTCTGGAGTTACTACTGACCTCCGTGGGGGTGGGGGGAGAGACCCTTCGGCGATGAAACCAGCTCTAATGTATGGGGATAGAGGTAGTCATTTACAAGGCAGCTGAAGATACACACCTGGTATTTAGCAAAACCAAAACAACAAAACAGAGGCTTCCTTACTAGTGTCTGGGAACTCCCCAGCCACGGGCTTCTGATTGAGGTTACAGTACTAGCTATGAATCAAATTAAAAAGTAGCTGGACCTCTAACAGACTGGCCACTCTCACACCAGCGGGCTCGTTTGAGTCGTAGCTGGTCAGTGTTGTAGCACACAAGGCTCCAGGGCTGGGTTAGACAGGCGATGACTTTTCTCCCCCAGTGGTCTACAGAACACTTTCTAGAAGGCACCATGAGGGCTATCCAGCTGGGGGAAGCTTCCAGAGTGGATCCAACCTGATTTCTGTACATTCTGGGTGCAAGGTATATTTTGCTCTGTACTTTTAGTGTGCAGATCAACAGCAACGACAACTTCCTGTATACTTGTGGGGACGTAGGAGGCTTCCCAAGTCAACAACTCATAGGGAGACAGCACATCCCACTACTGAGACTTCTATTTAATACCTTGTGCCTCCTGAAAGCAGTTGTTTATACCCAATCTGGTTACCACCTACATTCAAACTTTTTTTAAAAGTATTTTTGATTAACTTATTGTGTACCAAATTTCCTTAGGAATTTTTCATACATTATTAATTCTAGTTAACCGTTCCCTCTCAACTCTTTCTACCATTGCTCTGCTCCCCTCCCTGCTTAAAATTTTTTCATTTTCAATGTTCCATTTCTACTTTGGATTTTGTGTCTTCTGCTGCCCTCCAGATTAGCAAGGTTTGAAAATCAACCAAGAACTGATAACACTGGAAACTAAGTACCAGCTAATTGAAGCCAAGTAGTGTTTTCTTTATTTGTAACTCTTCCACAGGGCCAGCTGACAGGCAGAAGCCCCAAGAATATGAAGTTACCTTTGTAAACACTGGTCTCCGCTGTCCTGACCTACAAGATCTGCCCTGGTTCTGGAGTCTGTGAAGGAGCCAGACCTGGTACACACAAGCTATGACACCCTTCCATTCTGTGGCTTCATGCTGTGGATCCTGATTCATCAGACTGTAAACCCAGAGTCTCCCAGCCTCAGTGCTGTTGTGACCAGTATCTGCCTGAGGCAACTACCTGCTTTCTGCCCACAGACTTATTTCTCTTTTGGACTTTTAAATAAATAAAGTCATATACTTTTCTGATCTTACTTAACATTTTTGAAATTTATTCTTTGTTTGCTTTAGGTCTTATTATTTGCTCTGACTGTCCTAGAACTCACAATGTAGACCCTGATGGCCTTGAATTCACAGAGATGTGTCTGCCTCTTCTTCCCATCTTCTGGAATTAAATGTTTGTGCCACCACATCTGTCTTGAGGTTCATTCTTAATCTAGCAAGACTCAGCAGTTTGTTCCTTCTTGTTTCTAATTAATAATAATTCCTTGACTATGTCTGCTCACAGCAAGGGTGATCAAACACTATAGCCTATTGTACACAGCTTTCAGACAGCATCAGCCTCCTTCTCCTGCCACCTCCCCATGTCCCCCAGCATGACGCTTGCCTGTAGCAATACTAACTACTTGGAGGTTCTGAGTCTACTGCATTCTCCTCTCTCATGCATTTTTTTTCTGACCCCATAGCAACCGTGTCCCTCTTCATCTGCTTACATACCCACTATTTCTACTCCTGCTCAGGTTGTGTGACATCTCTGGGCTTGGAGTCACTTCCTGAAAGCTCACATCAAAAGCTATGTGCTTTAACAATTATTCGACTACACAGAATCCAGCATTGTATTCTAATAATAGTCGTGTGTCCCAGCAGTCCACTTTTTCCTCTTCATGTCCCATGATCTAATAAACAGTTTTCCCCAGCTGAGTCCCTTGGGCTTATTAGATGACAGGTCCTTGAAGAAAAACCTATGCTCTTCTGTCTTTAGTAACCAGTATAAGACGATCTGGAATGAAATGTATTGTGTTTGAAATATGAAATGTCTACTCATTGCTTGCCATGGGCATAAGCATTCTAAATGGTTCTGAGATAAATGGAGGAAGAATCTGTGCACCAGGAACAAGCAACAAGGGTAAGTGCAGGAAATTATTGCCAAGTGCCCTTGTTGTGTGTAATATTGGTAGAGTTGTCGCAGCCTAGGGCACACATTATTATAAGTACATAAGAGAGTGTATGTTTTCATGAGCTGGTTACTGCTTAACTTGTAGAGTTTAAACCAAAGAGTCCTTATGCACTACATAATTCATTTTTATTTTCTCTATGATAAGTATTGCTGAGGTCAAGACTGAAATATTACTGAATCCCTCCACTCTCAATTGCCCTGGAAACTAATCTGGGTTCTCCTCGTTCCATTAGTACAGTCTCTATCCCAAAAGATGGAAGGGAATAAGAGCAGGAACTCTAATGTCAGCCTGCCTGTCTTTGAATCCCAGCTTTCCCTCTTAGATGTTGTGCAGTCTTGTGCAAGACCTTTGTGGGTGACCAGTTATACCCAACGAGTCTCTGGCTTGACAATTGTCAATTAACGTCACAACTCTCTACTCTGCTTCAGGATACTGTTTCTTGGATCCATCTCCTTTGTTGTTTATTCCTCTGTGAAGATGTTCCGAGATGGCGCCAGACAGACTAGGGATATAAGAAAAGGCATACCTCTTTATTCCTGCTCCGTTTTTGAACTGCTCCACACAAATAATTTTCTTCAAACTGAAATTGGCACCTCATCCAATTCCCCTCCCCCACCCCTTTTACAACATAGCAGACATGACCTCATTGAATCATACCAGGAAGCACTACTGTGTCTCCCTGTTTAGAAGCCTTAGTTTAATTCTATAAGGTCCCTTCTTCAAGTTTCTAAATTTTCATAACTGCAAAATTTCCATCTTTTCCTGTAGCTTTAACGGGATAGCTTATATCTGTAGTTATTCTTGCTCCTGTTCCTTCACTGTCTTTTCAGCTCCTCAGGACATTCTTATTCTCCATCAAGGAGGTGATGTGATGTCTGCCTTTGCCTAGATCTTGACTAATATGTTTTCTTTATAGAACTAAAGAAACAAACAATTGTTCACACTGTCAGCTGTGTCTGCTGAATGGAAGGGTCCAATAAATGTCGGCTGTTGGTATTACTAATTAATATTCCCCATAGAAGAATTGTCTTTCTCATACAAATATGAATATTTGATTTTATTTATTTTCTACCTAAGCAGCCAAAATGAAACGGCTAGCCACGCAGGGTTCCTGCTCTTTATTTCTCTGTGGTCATATACCCTTTAGCATTTGTTTACGTTCTACGAAAGGTACAAAAATCTTAGCGTTATAGATGTGACTTATTTACCATGATAGTCTATCTCCATCTACTTAGAGTAACAACAATCATGGCAAGCACTAACAGCAACAGCAGCAGTAACACACACACACACACACACACACACACACACACAGGTGTGTGTACGCACTGTTAGAGAAAGACTTTTGCCTGTGAATTATCAATAGCGGTCTTCAAAGCAAATAGTAGATCAGCTCTGGAGAAATGACTCTCTCTCGATTTGAGTGTTCCTGAATTCACCATTGAGCAATATTTCCCTATCTTCATGTGAGTATTTCTCTGTTATTCCTTTTGGAAATAGTCCCTTTTTTTAATGGGATTTCACGTTTTATTTTCTGTCTGTTGCCTAGACATGTGCTGTTTGGTTCTTTGTGGAAGTGTGCCAAGTCACTCCCTCTGTCTGTTAGTATTTAATTATCCGACTACCTTATAATTAAAATCCCTCCAGCTGCTAAGGAATTACTGTCTGGCACTTGTCAGTTCTTTCCTTATGTGTACATTACATTTGATTAACCTCTGGAGTTTTCTTGATAAGCAATATTTAATTCTGTTTCTCAAGAAAATGGGGACAGTGTACACAAATGCGTAGTTATGGTTTAGTTTTGGGAAACTGGAAAGAATTGGCAAAGAAGAAAGGGATCTGGGAATCTAGAAGTCCAATTTATAGTCTGATATCTGGGACTGTTAATTGCAATGCTGGTGAAACAGGAGGTGTCTCATTATTACACAGCAGAAAACTGGTCTATGAGGGTGAGAGCATTAAAATATTAGGAAATTTAATTTATCGTATGTTTTTTTCTTGGCACTATGTGCATGTACAATTGAAATCTCTTTCTATTCTGTCCATGTCTTGGTTGACATTTTCAGTACCTCTGATGTTTCATTGTGATAGCTGTCATCCTTCCAAAAGTTTAATGATATCCTCCCTAGAGCCCATCTGTGAACCATTTTAGTCAGATGGGAGGGCCAAAAGTGAGCAACATGTTACAGAGGACATGCATAAAGCATCCCTTCTTCTACGGTTGAGCTCACCTTCTTGTGTTTCTCTCGTCTGTCCTGGTTTCAGCACTACATCTGAAGGCTATCCCTTCATCCTTTTTGAGCAGTTCGGACATCTTTAGACCATGACCTCTCAGTACAGAGACTGAGTGTTTGTCCCAAGACTCTGCTGTCCATGTAGAGCATCCCCAAGTCCAATCGTTCCTCCCCTTTCACATATACCTGGTGAATGGAGAGCTGATATTAAAAATACTGGATATTAAAGAAGTCTTCTGCAAGTTTGCACTTCATGGGGAACTGGACAATTGCAGTACTAAACATCCCAGAGTGTCTCCTTCTAACAGGATGTTGTAGAAGTCTGCTTCCCATTCCTAAGCACACATTCTTTAGACCCTTAAAGAGATCCTCCTGCAAATTAAGATAATATTTCCTTAAACTAATTCTTGTCTTAAGAGATACTTATTTTGTTGTTAAAAATGAACACAAACAATTAAGTACTATAAATTGTGAAGAAGAAGAAATAAGTGTTCTATGTTGCTTATTCAGTGGTTAAAATGGTTTAAATATTTTTTCTAAATTGATTACAGATGAAAATCCTTTTAAGTATTGATGTAGGAGAGTCTTCTACATCAATATCTATCTATCTGTTGCTTTCATTGATTAATTAATAAAGAAAACTGCCTGGCCTGATAGGTCAGAACATAGGTAGACGGGGAAGACAGAACTGAATGCTGGGAGGAAGAAGGCAGTGAGGCAGATGCCATGATTCCCTTTCCCGAGACAGACACTGGCTAGAGACTCATGCTGATAAGCCACAACCTCATGGTGGCATACAGATTATTAGATATGTGTTAGTCAAGATGTGAGAGTTAGCCAACAAGAGGCTACAGATAATGGGCCAGGCAGTGTTTGAAAGAATACAGTTTCCGTGTAATTATTTGGGGTAAGCTAGCCAGGATTCGGGCAGGAACACAACCGCTGCTTCTTTTGCAACAAAGTATATTTCTCGCATTGTCATTTGTTGTGTTTAATGATAATTTTGAGGGGTAATTGCATTTCAGTGTAGATCACTTGAAACCACGGGTCAGGCATTGCATGACAGCTATCACTATATAGGAAGTAAAAAGGAATGTTGTGCATAGATACTGGAGACCTGTCTCGTGGAAACTGGTTGACAAGGACAAAGAGCAGGTTAAGATTAGCAAGGTGTTTGAGAAGGTACTCTAGGCATGAACAGCAAATGGCAGTTAATCACAATGCTACCGCATTGTTGAAAAGAAATTTCAAGGTTTCCAGACTTAAGTCATTTGTCTTGGCCAACAATGAAAATATTCAGTTAGATTCTCATTGAATTGATATTTATGAAGAATATGAAATATAGTGCTTATATTTCTAAATATCTTGGAAACTTATTCCTCCTCCTGTTCCCTCTACCTTCCTCCCACCCATCCACTCCTCAGAGAAGGTAAGACACATTGCTTTGAGGCAGGACCAAGGTCATCCCCACTATATCTAGGCTGAGTAAGGTATCCCTCCAGAGAGAATGGGTTCCAAAAGCCAGAACAAACAGTAGAGATAAATCTTGGTCTCACTGCCAGTGGCCCCACAGCCACTAGAGAAATTCCCAGGAATCCATAAATTCGACTTAATATAAGAACTCTAAATACATCTACAAATCCCTCCCACCTCTAAGGCTCAGGGAACATTGAGGAAGTGGGAGCTGACAGATTGTAAGATCCAGAGGCTCAGGGACTGAGATTGCATCTCCTAGTAACATTAGAATAAATTCTTACCAACATGGCCTCCCAAATGTGAGCTGAACAAGGATGACATCACTGAACACCCCAAACTGGACAGAGAAGAGCTGGGAAAGAGAGAGGTGGTTCTCCCCGGAGCAGAGCTCACTAACTGGCCAGTGTCAAACGGGCAGTACTGCAAACATAC